AGCAACCTGGGCTGGCGGGAGGTGTCCCTGCCCAGGGCAGGGGGTGGGACTGGATGATCTTTAAGGTCTCTTTCAACTCTAATATTCTATGATCTGAAAGTTTGGGCTTTGATTCCTCCCCCTGAGCTCCCAGGGTTTCTCGGCTGCTCTCCTGAATATTAACCTATCCTGAACCTCACGTCACCCCCTCTCTCCTACAGTGGCACATGGGCCACTCGTGGTGGCACCAGATGCACTGACCCCAATACAAGTCCCCAAACCCTGCAAAGCATCATTTGGCATCTTCAGCCCGAGATCTCTCCCTCCTTTTTCCCTTCCAGCCCCGCTCGTGGCCGTGGTCTGCAGGAGGCTGGGCGAGCGGCCGACCTCCATCATCGGGGCTGGCTTGGTCGGCGGGGGCTGCCTGCTGAGCACGCAGGCCACCAGCGTCCCCTTCCTCTGCGTCTCCATGGGACTTCTCCTGGGTGAGCAGCCTGCGACTCGCAGTCGGGCAGAGATTTTCCCCCGCGCGATGAGTAGAAGTGGCTCCTTTCCCGTTCAACCAGGCAGTTCCTTTAAGAGCAAAGCACGCCCAGCTCCTTTCTACGTGCGAAACTCCAAAGCTTCGTGCTCGGCAGCATAAAATACCACTTCCAACATGCTAGACCCAACTAACCTTGCTTTTTTTTCCCGGACCCAACACAAATCCTTTTAAAAATCTCTTACTAAAAGCACACAGCCTCAAACACCCCAAATACTAAACACCACACGTGAAATCTTATTCTCCGCTGACTGCAACAGCAAAAGTCCCCCATCTTTCAGCCCCTGAATCCTGCAGGGCAGCTCTACCATGGGGACAACGACCTTGGGATGGCGTGACGTTGAATCCCTGAAGCTCATGATACGAAACGGTCACTTTTTGGGCAAAGCCATTTTATTTCTCCCCTTCCCCCGTAGGTATGGGCTTCGCCTGCCTTTACCAGGCGGCTGCGGTGATGACGGCCAAGCGCTGCAGGACACGGTTGGCTTTCTCCAACGCCATTGCCCGCTCCGGGATGGGGCTGACGTTTCTAATTGCGCCCTTCACTCAACTTCTCATCGATTTTTACGGCTGGCAAGGTGAGCGCGTCTCCCGTTCATTCAAACTCATCAGCATTAAGAGGGCGCTCAAGGATAACCGGGCAGGATAAAAGGATCTTTTTAAAAATTAAAATTGGATGCACCGAGGTACAACTCTGCCTCTTCTAGGATAGTTTGGGGACATCTCGTTAATGATTAAACACTCAATCAGTCATTAAAGTTAAGTCAGCATCAAAGCAGAGCCCTCAGAAACCAAAACCAAAACTGAAAATCCCAACTTTTACTACACTGTTTCACGGCCGTCTTGAAGGTCCACCACGTGTAATGGACTTCTAATGAGGGCACAGAAAAACTCCCAAATCCCAGAGGCAGCTCTGGATTTGTTGCGTGTGTCACAGCGAAAGGGACTTCCAGCGAGAAAAAACAGGAATAAAAGCTCCTGTAAGATACCTCCTGCTTACGGCAGGGCTTTCTCCGTGTTCAATCCAAACTCCACCCTGTTCCAGAGAGATCATTTCCTACTGCTCCTCCTTTCCCAGGCCAAGAAAAAAAAAAAAGCATCTTCTCTCTTCCCTCAGGTACTCTCCTGATTTTTGGAGGCATCATGTTAAACCTCGTGCCTTCCAGCATGCTGCTGCGACCCCTCAGGGCTCGGCCGCCTCAACGCTCCTCTGCTGAAAATGAAGCCCATGGGTGTCTAATGGCGAAGGAGGATCCAGAAACCCTTGATGGATGCTTAGATGAAACCAATCCCAGGGAAATGCAGCTCCGCAGCGCACAGGACCTTCCCACCGCGGAGGGAGTCATGACACCCCACGGCAGAGATGTCTCCGGTCCGGTAAATACATCGGCTTTGGAAGGGTTTGAGAAACCCCCTGTGGACAACTGCTCTCCAGAAATAGCCACTGAGGCCAAGAGAAGTTACAAATCCCTTCCAGCGACCGAAAAAGAAAATTCACAGCCTCTCCTCGATTTCTCCCCACTGAAGGATCCCGTCTTTGGCATTTTCACGTGGTCTTTTTTGTTCAGCCACTTGGCCTACTTCGTGCCCATCTTCCACCTGGTAGCCAGAGCCAGGACGCTGGGTATAAGCAGCATGGATGCCTCTTACCTCATCTCAGTGGCTGGTAGGCAAAAGAATCTTTTAAATCCATTTACAATTACAATGATACCAAAATAGGAAGGAAAAGCAACACAAATCTTGCCAAGAAATAGTCCCAAATCTGTCCTAGAATAAATCTCCATGGAAGAGGTTCAGCTCACAGCCCTTACCCCCCTTCTGTATATATAGCGTCGCCTTCTGTACATGTACAAAGTCGCTCTCACATGGTGGGTGGTTCTCTCAACCGAAACTGGATGATCCCCCACCCTCGCTGCACCCAACAAACGCGAGTTTCCAATTACATCGGTGCTATCTGTCCTCCTAAAACCTTCCCACCGTGGCCCCCGCTTTGCTCAAACCCACGAATCACAGGAATCCAGAGCCACTCGGCGTTCAAAGACCTCCAGTTTGACCCAGGAATGTGTGCCGAGAGAGGAAAAAAATAATTAATCCTGGGGAAAAAAACCCCGAACAACCCACCTTAACTCCCATCTAGCCATTCTGATTCGGAACGTTCACCTCCAAGGAGAAAAAAACCCAAAAGAACCCCCCAAAAAAACAACATGTGCGATTATAAGCCAGGATTAACACCAGAGTAATGTCAGGTTAAGAAAGCAGCTGCAACCTCAGTCACCATAAAATATTTTATTGTACAAAAATAAATTTTACTTCCACGCTGCTGTATAATATTTAGAAATGACGAACACCGTCAAGGAATCAAGAAGGAGAACGCAGCAATTAATCTGACATTTTGAATTAAAAGTAGGAGGGAGACAGCGGTCAGCAAGATATTAGCTGGCAGCGAGCACTCCTCTCATCTTTAGTTCATAAAAACATACCGAGAAATGGAAAATCCAAGTATCAAAAGTTTGCCGAGCCTTTAAAAAAAATGCCGGTCTTCTGTCTCTTATAAAAATTAAAATCTCATAAGCATATTTCTTCACCATATTCTGCTTTTTCTCTATCTTGGAAAAAAAAAAAAAAAAAAAAGAAAGAGATGGAGCAGCATGCTTATCTTTCCAATTTTTACTGAAGGGCATCTCCGGGTTTTCTGCTGAGTGCACAGCCCTTAATTGAATTTTTACCGACCGCTTCGGTGCACCCACAGGCACTTGGCAATAGGAGGCACCAAGGTAAAGAAAATAATACAAAAAACCCCATGAATTTTACAACAGCCTAAAAACACCTTCCTGTAACTTCCCGGCATTTCAGCCCTTCGCGGTCACGTTCTTGGAGCGAGCGGCAGGTGGAAGCAGGAGGTGTCTCAGAGCAACGCAGTGCAAAATAGCAAAGAAAAAGAAAAGAAAATAAAAGAAAATAAAAGAAAAAGTCTTCTTTGAGGCTGTGGTGAACTCCTCTTTCCCGCAGGTATCACGGAGACGCTCAGCCAGCTGCTCTCGGGCTGGATCGCCGACCAGAACTGGACCAAGAAGTATCACTACCACGTGGCTTACCTCGTCCTCGGCGGCATCACGAACCTGCTCTGTCCTCTGGCCACCACCTTCCCCTTACTCATGACCTACGCCGTGGCCTTCGCCGTTTTCTGCGGTGGGTTCATGGCTCTGGTCCTCCCTGTGCTGGTGAGTAGGATATTTCATTAAAATAATGATAATAATAAAATAGTAGTATGTGGCATTTCCAAGAGTATTCCAAAATTATCCGAAAACCCTTTGAGAAAGCTGAATGACCCTGAGCTGCTGCAGACCTGGAGAAGAGAAGGCTCCAGGGAGACCTCAGAGCCCCTTCCAGTGCCTAAAGGGGCTCCAGGAGAGCTGGGGAGGGACTCTGGGTCAGGGAGGGGAGAGATGGGATGAGGGGGAACAGTTTAACACTGGAAGAGGGGAGATTGAGATGAAATATTGGGAAGAAATTGTTGACTGTGCGGGTGGTGAGCCCCTGGGGCAGGTTGCCCCGAGAAGCTGTGGCTGCCCCATCCCTGGAGGTGTTCAAGGCCAGGTTGGACGGGGCGTGGAGCAACCTGGGCTGGGGGGGGGTGTCCCTGCCCAGGGCAGGGGGGGGGACTAGATGGTCTTCAAGGTCCCTTCCAACCCAAACACTTCTATGATTCCATGAGAGTGTTCTCTCCTCCAGTCTGAGCCACTGGAAAACCCCAAACCTCCTCTCCCAACCCACTCACTGGTATCCACAGCCCAGACACAACAGAGGCACTGGGAGTTTACTGCAGATTTTTAACAATCTGGCTCTGCTAATTGCCTTCCACATCCTCCTTTCTAAAGGAGACTGCTCCAGCTCACAGGAAATGGATCCACCCCGGTCCCCATCTCACCATTGCTAAGACGGTGTTCTGCATATCTGCTCCCAGTGCCAGAATTATCTCTAACACACACAGACCAGTTAACAGCAGGTTCTGGTTAGGGAGGCATCGTTATAATTTGGCATTTCTTTCTGGGAAGGAATTCAGAGTTTAAAACACCTCCCTCGAAGTCACAGAATCCCAGACTGGTGGGGGCTGGAAGGTCCCTCTGGAGCTCCCCCATCCCACCCCCCGCCAGAGCAGGGGCACCTCCAGCAGTGGCACAGGACGGCGTCCAGGCGGGTTTGGGATGGCTCCAGAGGGGGAGACTCCCCCACCTCTCTGGGCAGC